GTACTACAACTAAATACTTTAGAAATTAAAACTGTCTAGATAAATTTCGTATTAACACTTACCTTTTATGTTAAATTTCCTAAAAACAATTACAAAACTCTTTTTAAAAATGAATGTAAAAAACACATTGTTAAGAACGGAAATACGGATTATTTTTATAATAAAAAAAAGCAACTGTTACATAAAGACATATACTTTTTTTGTATGAATAATGAATGTAAAACGAATAACTAATACTTGTACATACAGACATACTACAGATACGAACGAGAATATCCCAGGAGATTGTTAAGTAGACGAAAAATCAACTTTCACTAGTAACTAATTTTTATGGTATTTGTTTTGTTTTTAAAATACGAATAGAAATGATATGTTAAGTAACTTTTTTAAATTAATGTAGAATACAGACACATAGACTGCTTAATCTATCATAGCATTCAAAAATATCGAATTTAAGTTTAGAATTTTCGATCATATGTATCTTAAAAATGCTTATAATCTGAAAATACTTTAAAATTAATGAAATTTTGAACTTATTTAAACATTTTTCGATTATAAGTTCGTATTTTCGAAAGGGGTTTAAGAATCTAAAGGTCTGCACATTATTTTAACAGTATTACAACTTTTTTAAAACGTAATTTAATACGAAGGTTCCCTTAATTTAAATTAAAACAACATTTTTGAAAAAATTAGTAATACATATTTACAAACACCATTCGTATTCTAAAAGTTTTAATATGAAAAAAATAATTTTGTTTTGTTTGTTGGGATGCATCTTTAGGATTCATTTTCATAGTATATGTACAAATTCATATCGCTTATTTACTACAAGACTGGTATAACTCAAAAATTTCTCTGATAGGTATTTTAACCGGCCATTGTTCTATTAGAGCTTTTACTTGTAAATGGTACAATACCATGCAGGTTATGCAAGGATGTTGAGGAACTAGACATAACTGAGCGTATAATTTTACCATTACAAGAATGTTGAGGAACTAGACACGATTGAGCGTATAATTTTACCATTGTACTAGAATAGAGAAATAGCTTGGAAACAATTTTACAACAAACATGGAAGTTTTGCTCTGTGTAAACCATGCAATCTGTTAGGACTTTGAGGCACCTTATGCTGAATAACTCTTCTAAACCTAAAGCTTTCATATACATACGTTTACATATATCCTAAAATGTCTTATTTTTCGTGTACGATTGGGGGTTTTCAAACGTCAAAAGAAAAACTCATGATGAATTAAAATTCAGTTTAAATTCAGGTGAGAAACATAATAACGTCTCTACTACTGTTCAAAAATGATTTAAGTAATAGTTGTTGAGTTGTGCCAATTTTGTAGTAAATGAGCGATATATACGTATGTTATATGACCGACTGTCTGTGAGTCTGCTTTATATTACTGCTGCAACATCTTATTTTATCATTGCGAGAATGTTTGTATGTTGACTAAATGTCTGATAGTGTTGACTGTTCCTTTGTTGGATACATTTAACGTTCATTGAATATACATTTCAATAGATTCGAGTTTAAATTCTTACTTCTTTTTCTGAAAGACACCTTTTGCATAAAAGGCAAATTTATAATGTGGCATGAAATAATGTGTATATAGTAACATCTGTTCTTTAAAAGGGTTTATGCAAAGTTTATATAATTTGAATGCTTTTGTTTTCTTTTTTTTAATACCGGATATGATAATAGCGGTTTTAATTTTTAGTAATAAGGTAAGGGATACTAGTGCGTAATTTCATTTGGATAATTTTATCAGATACATGGATCCGTATGCATCAAAATGACGATGAAAATATATTTTATTTTACAGAAATATTTTTACCAGTTCCATCAGATGGTTTAAGTATAATTTGTGATGTGAAAATCAAAATCAAATACAAATAACTATTAATTATAAAATTTGTTTTGTCATCTTTTGGTTAAGATATTTCAAAGAAGGATATTTTGAAGCCAATAGTTAAGATTTTCAGCCGACAAAATAAATTTTACAAATAAAGTTGGCTCGGCTGTTATAAAATCTCAAAAAGGTTTTATTTTCAAATCTAAGATCTCAAAAACTTGATGTGAAATTCTGTGGTGAGATTCAGATTCAATACCGCACCATCCTTTGGAAAATTATGTATTAGTACCTGGGTTTAGACTTTTTCAAATTTGTTTTTTTGTTAAATTTGTTATTATAAATATTTTATGGTTAAATCGTAGCTTTTTCGTGTCACATTCAGTTTTTAACTTTGACGTCTTTCCGGTGAACATCTCATTCGGCAAAAATTATTTGTCTTTTTTAATATTTATCATCATTTCCTTCCGTTTATTGGCATCTTTTTTTTGTTTTGTTTACAACACGTGTTTTCCACTACACACACGTTTGAACGTAAAGACAGCTAGACAGCAAAATAAAAAAAAATGGTTTATGCATCTGTTTTTATTTTATCTTTGTTGCAATTATTATTGCAAGATTGAAGAAAAGGTTATTGATTCATATGGCTACCGTCAAGTTAATATACATATGATAGAGATATAGTATTCCACAGACTCTGTGGAATACTACATATCAAAATTGATATCTAATGAGTATATTTGTAATGTAATAAAATTATTTATCTGCCCATTTGTAAGTATGTTTATAAAATAACAACAATTGTGTTTAAAATAATCCATCCATCCGCACATCTTTGTTAAAATTGATCCAAGTTTTAAAATAAGAAAAAAAATAATAAAGGGAAAACTTGTTTTTGATTCAGGATCTGGTTTTTCAGCTGAATCTTCTCGTATTCCCTACTGTCTACGTACTACATAGTATTCCTGCAGAAAAGTTTTTTTTTTTGTTTAATTATGTAGGTACATTGGTTTATTGTTGTCATATGTATGTGTGTATTTATTCTGGTTCATATATTGATTTTGTTTATTTTTTATTTTGCTGCTGCTCTGTTTTTGCGGTTCTGATAAATGTGCACCTTGTATACATACGTGCTTTTAAATCGATTTCCGGTCTGATATATTATTACATACATACATAATATGTACTACATACATACAGCAGTGTACGGCAGTGTACATAAACCCGAACCACCACTGTTAACGAAAATGTTCATAATTCAAAATTTACAAATATATTCCGAACACGAAATTTGATTAAAATCGGTTCACTGTTTCATCAAAACTCCACACAAGAGGTCAATTGATGGCATAGATATCGAAAATGTTTATTCGTCCACATAAAATTTAGCATAAATGTCTTTTATGTTGACAGAACTAAAAGTTTATGTGGATCAGTGCATTTTGAGATATGTATACAGGTCGTAGAATTCCACTCCGATCGGAAGTGGAATAATTATTTAGTAAAGAAGAAGCTCAATATGAAAATGATTGAGCTTTCGATCGGAATGTAATTATGTGACATGGTCCATAGTACAAATAAGAACGGAAGTTCTTAAAATTTAAATAATACATATTTACAGCGAAAATTTACTCAAAGGTATTAATTAATTGATTTAATATCAAAATCCTGCGTGTCCTGGTTTATCATTTATAATAATATATTTATACTTTAATTATTCGTCATGGTTGCTTATTCTACGGCACTTAAGAATTTTTGTTATAAATTCAGCATTTTACTTACTAACCCCCTTATTCACAAACAAAATTTTTATTTTATAAACAGTTTATAAATTAGATTTTGTATGGAAATTTTGTTTTATAAACCGTTTATATTTATAAATCTATAAATTGCACATCAAGTGTAAATTATGCAGAAAATTACTTTGAAATATTGTAAAATATATTTAAATATATGGTTCCAATAATATTTTCCCAAAGATGCAAGTACTTACGCTCGCTTATAAATAAGTATTTGAATAAATCTTTACATGGGGAGTTTACGCAATTGTTTTGTATTACAAGTCATTACCAATTTTTGATGGGGGTTAAAGCTTATTTTTCTTATTATTTCTAACCTTTTCTTATTATTTTAAATAAATTTTATTTATAACATTTAAAACAAAAAATTCATATTTTTGGTTTGGAAAATTTTTAGTTTGTAAATTTTCCCAAACAAAAAATTTAAATTAAAAAAATATATACGTATATTTAAAAAATCTTAATTTAATTGCCAAGAATATTAATTTATAACATGAAGTTATTTTCGTCTTTTTTTTTTCTTGATATTTAATATCGATTTCCTGTGTAGAAATCAGATGTACGAATTTCTCTGTCGGTATCATTATTAAATAAAACTATGCTGTTCTTCACTATTTACAATATGATGTGTGTGTCATACGATTTTATAATAAGTTTAATTTTATTCCAACGACCTCGCCCCAATTTTAAAAATTGTCTATAGTATTCTACTCGTTTTAGGTTTGCCAATTTTATATACTAATAAAAAAAAATTATATTAATACTAAATATACAGGAAGTCACGTTGTAATTTCCTTTATTTTTGTTTTGGTTTTCTTAAACTAAATGAAAAAGAAGTATGTAAATATACACACATAATTGTATGTATGTATGTATTTATAAACAAATATGTACATTTTACAACGTAATGTATGTACTCGTAAAGTATTGAATGTCAACTTGCATTTTCCTGTCGATTAAAAACAGTCATCGTTATTTAAATGCTAAATTAATATACATAATTAGATATTTTTGTAATGTTTTTACTTCATTTCGACCCCTTATTTGATGTTAATTTATTCGAATATTAATAAGTTTTTAATATTTTTTTAATTTATAATTTACAATAATTATGTGGTAATGAAGTGTCTGTTAGCCCTTTTATGAAAATCGCTGTACGAGTACACATACATACAAGGATATTTAATTACAAATTAATTATATTCATAATAAATTGGGTTATTCAAAAGTAGGAAGTTGTTCTAATTTGAACGACATGAAATGTAATGAAATCTTTTTACAAACAATTTATATTACTAATATGTATTTGATATTTATATGGGATTTTTATCTTGTTATTTTTTAGGAGAAGCTAAAAATCTTAGTAGCCGGAATGCGGCGAATACTAGTTGCAGCACACAAGGTACCCGCGATGTTTATTGCACAATCGCGTTGGATCAGGAGGAGATTTGTCGAACACCCACCATAGAACGTACACTGTCGCCGTTTTTTGGCGAAGAGTATCAATTTAAAATACCACGACGATTTCGCTACCTGTCCGTGTATGTATGGGATAGAGATAGACACATGAAACAAGACAAACCGATCGGTAAAATAGCGATAAAGCGAGAAGAGTTGCACATGTACAATCATAAAGATCACTGGTTTTCATTAAGACCGGTTGATTCGGACTCCGAAGTACAAGGCATGGCACACATTGAAGTACAATTCGAAGATACGCCATCTCAAATTCACGAACAGCGAATTAATCTCCTGCGGCCGGGTGACTATGAACGAAGTAACAGTGATATGATCGAGGAGCTGGTACAGCACCAGGCGTTACAAAATGATTATAAAGAGAACAGTGAACTGAGCAATATACAACGAAGTAATGCGCAAAAGGGCGGCATTAGGACTACCAGTGTGGGTAGTACTAGTAGTGGTGGACTGTTCGGTAACAACCAGCATCAGAATACCGAACACGGCACTAATTGGAAGAATACATCGCTGACGACAGCTGGCGGAAAGCACTCACGTGTCACAATACGTGTACCTGAATGTACCGATTTGGCGAAGAAGAATGGAACTTGTGATCCGTATGTGGTGTGTACAGCATTGTACTCCAACAAGCGTCAGATCTCTAAACGCACCAAGTTACGAAAGAAAACTGTAAATCCGGAGTTTGATGAATTGATGAGTTTTGATCTATGCATTGATTCTGAGCCTACAGCATCGGCAAAATCTTCCCACAGTCAGTACGATTCTAGCAGTGGAGGCGGTACAATAAATTCGAATAAGGCCTATACAATTTATCCCGTAGGAGGAGCTGATCTCTGTGAGATAACCGTGACTGTGTGGCATGATGCATCGGGCATGTCGGACAAGGTGTTCCTGGGAGAAGTAAAATTACCCATGCGAAATAAACAGCAACAATGTGCTGTTCAACCGTCCGCCTGGTATTATCTGCAACCTAGATCGTTGGGGTCAACTTCTCGCACTGTAAATACAAATACGCGTTCATGTGCCACACCGCCAGGAACGCGGCTGAGTGGAGATAGTACGATTGGCTCGTTACGTCTCAAAATCCTGTACACCGCTGACCATGTATTCCCGCTTGCCACGTACGACGATCTTATGAATCTGCTGCTGGAGTCGGTGGACCAACGACCCATCATGCTGTCATCGGTTTTTATACTTGGAGAGCTGGTGTCGTGCAAAACAGATGTTTCACAACCACTCGTTCGACTTTTCACACACACCGGGCGCATTGCACCCATTATCAAAGCTTTGGCCGACCACGAGATCTCAAACTTAACCGATCCTACGACAATATTTCGTGGCAACACTTTGGTGTCAAAAATGATGGACGAGGCGATGCGCCTGTCGGGCCTGCACTATCTACATCAAACATTGCGGCCCGTTCTGGCGCAAATACTTGCTGAGAAAAAACCATGTGAAATTGATCCGTCCAAAGTTAAAGACCGCTCAGCTGTCGACACGAATCTACATCATCTGCAAGACTATGTGGAGAGAGTATTTGAGGCTATAACAAAAAGTGCGGTGCGTTGTCCGAAGGTGTTGTGCCAAATATTCCATGATTTGCGTGAATGCGCCGGCAGACATTTTCCCCACAACCGAGAAGTACGTTACTCTGTAGTGTCGGGTTTTATATTTTTGCGTTTTTTCGCCCCTGCCATTTTAGGACCGAAACTATTTGACTTGACCACTGAACCATTGGTAAGATTTTTCTCATAGACAAACAAAAAAATATTATTAATTTTAAAATACAAATACAATCGATTTCTATTTCAGGACTGCCAAACAAACAGGACTTTGACATTGATTTCAAAAACCATACAATCTTTGGGCAATTTAGTAAGTTCGCGTTCTTCACAGCAACCCTGTAAAGAAGAGTACACCGGTCAGTTGTATAAGAAATTCTGCACAGAAAAGCATGTTGAGGCCGTGAAAACCTTTCTTGAAAGTATTTCAACACCCTGTGCCGACGAAGTTAGCCCAACACATGAAACGAGTAGTTTATTTCCGGTTGGAGAAAATAATTTAGAGCCAGTTTTACTTAAGGAGGGGTAAGTTTACATATTTGTTGTTTTTTACATTTTTAATCTTATAATTATATACACATAAACACACTCTTATTTTTGGTGCCATGTTTTCTTTTTATTAATATGAATATTTTTATATCCTCTTTCCTCATGCACTTTCTATAAACACTCAAAAATCTCATATACACTCACCCACTTACCTGTGAACCAAACTAAATCACCCCAACTCCTGTTATTGCGAATTGATTAACAAAATTGCTTTAATTAAAATGCATTTACATTTAAAAATCATACAAAATGTGTAACATCAAAATTTCTGTATAACAAATTACAAAAAAAGAGAGGGGTAAGGAATAAAAGATTTTATTTAGTAACTACATATTTTTTCTATTTCAATTTATGGGCTTTGTAAATATGTATCATTAGATGTTTCTTAAATATTTATTAAAATAAACCTATATTGAAATTTATTTTACTTACAATTTATTTGTTTTCGTTGATAAAACCAGCATGATGACAAAGTATCCTCAATGTCGTAAACGCTTTGGACGACGTCCTTTTAAGCAACGCTATTTTCGTTTAACCACCCAATCTTTAAGTTATGCCAAATCAAAAGGCAAACAAACCATCTGTGATATACCGCTGGCTGAAATTGAACGCGTCGAACAATTAAATGAAAAAAGTTTTAAAATGCAAAATTGTTTTAAGGTAAGTTTGCTCTTTTTTATCAATAACGTCACATAAAATGCAAAAGGGCGTAACAAGACTTTTCAACATTTTACAGGAAACACAAAAAATTAAATTAAATGAAAACTATTGTTATAAAAATGATTTGCTCTTACAAGCGTTATATCGCAACTTTATTGACGTTCGAATATGCATACATATGTTCTTAAGTATTCCGCCTAGACTTAGTTTAATATGAAATAGAAGCAGCATTGATATGGAGTAGTCAGATTCATAAATGTAGATGCCACCACCCGGGGAGGATTTCAGCAATCCTAGGCAAGCGTATATAAAATCATTTGATTGATTTCAGACTAAAACCGAAGAAAATCTGACGACTTGGTAAATTAATCAAAACCAACCAAATCAACCCTTTATTCGTAATTGATTAATAAAGTTATTGATGGATTATTTTTTGATATCTTAATGAATACAGGGGATAAATATGTAATTTCACAAACATATTTTTTAAACAGTATACATATAAGAAATTTAGCATTTTCTCAGATAAATAACTTTCTTCAATTGTTTATGAAAATAGGCCTGTTGGAGTGGTATTTGCATTTGCTAGGTAATTTGTAACTTGTATGATTTTGATTATTAATTTTGTTTTGAAAATATTACCCGCATAGTTGTGCGTGCAAAACAATTTTATAAAAGTTAAAAATTTGTTTATTGTAAATTTATATTTATCTTACAACCATCTAAATACAGTCTATGCAAATTATGCATTGTTTTGTATTAAGGTGAAATCATTTGAAAAGAAAAATACTACACAGTCTAAAATGCCTGATGATAGTCTGTCGTCTCTCTTGAAGACTTTTCCTATCCATAATTATGTTTAATTTTTTCTCTTCATCTTCTTTGCATATTATATATGAAAATTATTGTTTGATTGTAGTGTGTTCCTCAGATAATTTTATTAAGAGGTTGAAATTCACACGCTGTCTTCTATTTTTGTCTTTATACACAGCAGTGCAAGAGTTCCAATTCTTGTACTCGTTTAAAACAATACTTTTTAAAAATATGTTTCTTATGTTGTGCAAAATGAACAATCGTCGCATAATATATTTTAATGTATTATACATAGGTAGTTTAAGTTTTTAACATTGTTGTCATCGTTTTTTTTTTAGTTTTATTTATTACAAAATTTCCCTTTTTAAAATGTTGTTTTAATTATGATTGTGGGGGCCCAAACTTAATTGGCTTCTAGAGTATGAGTTTCTTACACACAAACACATATTTTTTATTTTCTAGTATTCTCATCATTGTGTAGGAAAGAATGTGTGTATGTGGAGTTTTTTTTTTTTACTTTTTATATAAATGTTCATTGTTTTTATTTATATTTACACTGTGCTCCAATTGGTTGCTTTTTTAATTTAACAATATGAATACAAGTTAATTAATCGTAAATGGAACTCACGAATACCATATTTTAATTAGCTCCAGTGTGATTCAAAGAGAATTAACGTCCAATACTCAGATATTTGAATTTCATTTCGACGAACGCCTGACAATCACAAAGCAAGTGTTTCCTCGTTTCACTTTGTCTGTACACTGTACACAAAAAACAGTGTGTCATAAGACTCCATTTCGAGTACAGGGTAAGACACCATATGGAGCCTATACTGGCCAACATTGATACCATTGCCTCCTGTTATCTTAGCGGATTATATGAGAAATCATTGACATATGAGTTGAAACGAATTCCGCTTCCATCTGCAAGATTGCCGGCAAAATACCATGCAGTCGTGCAGCTTTATATGAGGCAAATCTCTTAATTAACATCCTTGACTATGCTAGTTTTAACAACTATCTCAATGGCAGCCTATCCTTTTCCTCGTGTATCACATGAAAAATAAAAGTCATAAGGATTTTAATGGTCTCTTCCATATCATCCTGTATTTATAGAAACATTTGTTGATCTTCCATACATCACTTACCCCGTCTTCCTGTTTACAGAAAAGTTTTGAGAAATCTCGTTTGGCTTTTCTAATGATTAAGAACATGTAAGAACATGTTCTACTGTCGAAATGGTTAACAAAATTCTATGGGAGAGCATTTTTACTAAGAAGTTTAACTTTTCATGTATTTATGCTCATAAATCTATTGTTTATTATTTTTAGCTTAGTGGATTGATAAAACATTATTTATTTAACGAATATATGTATACATGACTACATAAACTTTATTACATTTAATAAGGAATTATTTTTATTTTTTAGATCGTACGAAAGGAACGTTCCCTTATTGTACAAACAACTAATTGTGTTGAAGAACGAGAATGGATTGATCTCTTGCACAAAATTTGCTTAACTAATTCGATACGATCGCAATACTTTCATCCATCGGCATTTGTGAATGGCGTATATAGCTGTTGCGATCGTTCCGATGAAAATGCTCCCGGTTGTAAGAATGTCTCGCCTGAAGCAATGGACTACTTTCAAATGGATTTAATAACAGCATTGGATCCTGCGTTAGATTTACAACGAATACACACATTAATTATGTCTCATATGACACAGCTGGAGGTATTTCTCGATCAGACAGTGGCTTTCCATCAGATACAGCAACAACATAATCCACTGGTGGCGACGGCTATGGCCTTTCAGCAGCAGTCTGCACATGCTTACGGGAAATTTAAAGCAACAATAATGCAGCTGCGTGAAGTGGCATATGTAATTGATAAGGATCATCGAAATTATAAGCAGGGAATAGCACGTGAGTTGAAATATGGCAGTCGGCAGGCACCGATAGGCGATGATAATTATTTACATATGATGCGTGCAGCGGGACACATGAATTTACAACAGCAACAGCAGCAACAACACCAACAAATGCAACAACAACAACAAGTATTGCCGCAAATGCAATTGGTAATGGCATATCCATATCACCAGCAGCAACAACAACAGCAACTCCAACAACATGGAAATATGAACGCATATTTTATGCATAATTTACAGTCCGCACAACAGCAGCAACAGCAAAGACAACAACATCAGCAGCAACCTTTTTATCAACAGCAAACAATACAGCAGCAACAACAACTTAACAACAATCAACACCATTTATTGCGTGCCGCTGCAATGGTACATCACCATCATTCACACCCGACAGCAACACCATCTTCCAGCAATTCATCCACGACTTCAAGCGTAGCACCCACACTCACGCCCACATCTAGCATTTACTTACGTGACACCCTCACCGTCGAACGCTATGCAAACAAATGCTAAAATCATTCGTTACTGTGCTAAACTATTGGTGCAGTTCAACAATACCTTCATTATTCTACATGATACTTATCATCGTCTCATCATAATCTCCTTTATATTTTTAAACGATATGATCAACCCCACCAACCAAATTTACATCTTGCATTTGTAACATAAATTACAACTCTGCATTATTCAGATATCAGATCCATATTCAGGGATACACACATACATACATCATAGATGAATGTTTAAGCAGTATTCAGATATCATTCTCTCCAATTCAAATTTATTAGTGCGCGCATCCAGCAGATTAGAGTAATTAATTTGGTCGGTTTTCAAGTTTGACTACTTTTCATTTTAAATTTATGAAAATTTGCGCAAAACTTTGACTGTTTAGCGACTAGAATGTTTATCTCATTTTGGGCATTTTACACATTTGCTGTAGTAGACGTAGTCGTCAAGCATTATTTTTCGCATTTACACTTGTGCTCATGAAGACAGTATTATATACTCTGTATCTGGTCAGTATCTTCCCTTTAAAAGCAATAACTTTTGAAAAAGATTTATGCAATAGCCCACAATAAATAATTGAAAAGCTGTCGTCTACAACCGCAGCACAAACAAAATGGCAGTAGCGTTTTCCTTTTTCCCGATTTCTTAGTTGGAATCTTAACCTTTCCATTTATTGAGCAAAAGAACGAGTGAATGTAGTTCATGTTACAAGACAAGAGAATTTTTTTTACTAAAAATAAATGTAAAAACAAGAATTCTAAAAGCTAAAAAGTTCAAATTATGTATAGAAAATTTTGATTTATTTTAATAAAATGTTTAATATGTATGTTTTTTTATAAATACATATAAATACATTGTATGTAAACTAATTGTATCTGTGTTAATACTATTATTAACATTATATACATATGTACATCCAAACAGATAAACATACAAACACACATGATCATACGGATGTAAATAAAATTATAAATAAATATTATATTATATTATATTATAGTATATATGTATAATTACATGAGTTTACCACTCGTTAGAAGATTAATTATATCCTTCTTCTTTCATAAAATCTGAGCATGAATGAACAAGTAATAAGTATACTGAATAAAAAAAACTAATGTTTAGAGTTGTACATGATTTGTATTTAATACGTTTAACATTACTATTATTATAATTATAATTATTATTTGTATAACTATCAGTTTAACATTATTAAAACTTTATATAATATAAATATATTATTTATAGGTATTAATTGTAAATTAATATTTTTATAACTTATAACTTAAATACAATACAGATACATTTTAAGAATATAAACTATTTATTTTATATACCATGAACTATTTAATATTAATAATAATTACAGTAATAAACACAAAACAAAACGGTACATATATTATATGTATAAAATATATTTAATACTTAGTAATAAATAATTAACTGAATTATGAACAATCTTTTTTATGTTAAAAAAAACAAGTTCAAAGTAATAAAACAGAAATATAGAAATACAACTGTAGTATTGTTTTTACTTTAAATGCTGCATTATATAAACATATATTTACTAACAAAATATAAACAAACTGATAATATAATTCTAAAATAAATGAAATTCTAAATTTTATAACTCCAATTTATTGCATTATGTAAATGATAATACATATTACTACTAATAAGTTTTAATATCTAAGTTTGTTTTTTTAACAAGTTTTTTAGTGATACAAAGAAAACGAAAGAAAATTCTTTAAAAACATTTAATCAAGTATGTGAATGCAAAATTAAAATTACAACAATAGACTACTTATTAGGAAATTATTTTAATTTTACATTTTCAAATCATTTATGTCATGCTTGTTTCCGTATTTAACAAAAAGAACTTGCTAACACGGTCTGTCAATAACTTTGTGATAAACGTAAGAATTATTCAAAATTAATCCAAAATTTTTAATATAAAGATTCTCTCACATAGGGAAAAATTTCTGTGCTATATAACGGGCTGCTAAAAAGGTAAAAATATAGATTAAACTAAAATTTGAATAAACTAAATTACAGCGCATTAAATGTTGATATTTCATTGTTTTTTGATATGCTTACAATATTCGCTTTTTAAAACAGCAACGCATACAAGGTTAAAAAACGAGCACAAATTTCCTGGCATAAATACAATATTATATTTTATACATTAGTTTAATATTAGAGCCGAAACAAAGTTAATAAAGAAATTACACTGTTGTCTATGCTAAGATTGATGTTTTTTAATAAATCTAAAATTACTTTTGATTCGAAATCGAGTGATAAAGAATTGTAATGATGTATTTTTGTTTGTTTATACTTAAGAAAAAATATTAGAAGCAAATTGAAACAAACTGTGTTACTGTATAGAATAATTTTTATTATGCAAAACAAAATATAATTTACCACCAAAATTATTAATGTTTATTTTTATGTTAATATGCATAATAATCTAATAATCGAAAATTTTGTTATATAATCTCAAAACTTCCAAATTTGTCTAAAATCTTTTGTATTTTTTCAAAAGTCTTCCCTATTTTAAATGAAATCTTTAATTTTTTATTTATTAAATTTTGTTTGAGCATTCCATTTACATAATAAATTGTCCTGTTCATTTGCCTCTCAATTTTTATTTGCAGCGAAAGTTTCCAATACAAAAAACAAACTAAATATTGGAAACGATTGAAACTATAAAGCAAACGAACACAGATTGGTTAACTAACATTTCGGATTTTTATTTTTATAATTTTGTTTTCGATTTGGCTTGTTGATTTCCTTTTGAAAAAGTGTAATGTAAATAAATGAATTGTATTGAAATACTGCTACATTGTATTTAATTTAATTTCTTTATCAATATTTAATATATTTAAAGAATTCATCTGCATTAATTTAAAAGTTAAAAAAACATAATTGTAACATGCAAAGTTTACTTAAGATTATTTAATATTTATTTATATGTTTTTGTTTGGAATTAATAATTGGATTTAATTAATGATCAATTAATTTAGTTTTAACATAAATGTTATACATATACATACATAGTACATAAATATTGTAAATCATTCATGTTTATTTAAAATCATTTTGATACATTTCGTATTCTTTATGTTAATTTTAAGTTTATACATTTTTGGTACAAAAAATAATATTTTGAAATAAACAAAATTATAATAATTTTTCTAACAAATTTTGTGTTCTTTTTTAATCGTAATTGACACAAAAACTTCATTCTAGTTCGTAACTTTTTGGAGTCAATTTAGAGAAAGTTACATACAGTGTGAAACAAAAATGTGTAAATGATGGTCAAATCAGGCCTGTCACAAAAAAATCCACTTCAGAAAAATAAAATATTAAATTTAACTCATTTACACATATTTGGCGCGTAGTGCCAAAGTGAAATTTTATTATAAATTAAAATTTTCCATACTTCAAGGCAGCTCTCCCAGAGTTCTGTTGTGTTTTTACATGAGTGTTCGTAATTGTAAACCCGATTTTACCATAAATTCTTAATCGTGTTTAACGACTGTAGCAAAGAAAAGTTAACAGTTTTTAGAAGAAATCGAGGTTTTTTATTTCGGGTCTTTATAAAATTACATCATAGTATTTTCAACGTTTCGACCCCAATCATTAAAAATATCAAAATTCAATGGCTCGATAATATCAATAGAAATTTCGTCATTCATGATCCCATCAATTCTATACATGCTAGAGAAAGGGCTATAAAGCCTTTTATCACAGAAAACTCGAGCTCTTCGATTACAATTCTCTAAAAAGTTCAAGAACTGGATTTTTATGGATATGATAAATGTTGATGAGCCAAAATTTATTTTTCTTGGACGTGATCGGCCATAGCATTTATATTAGGGATAATTCCGGGATTTTTCGGGATTAGGATATCCCGAATCCCGGGATTTATCAAAATGAATCCCGGGATTTGTTACTAAATTTTTTTTTATATTCTTTTTTAAGCCATAATTCGCTTAAAAATTACGATCTTACTTTATTTTTGACTTATGCAGAACAAAATTCAGCACAGCTAACCTTGTACATTTTGAACCTTTTATTTTTTAAAGTGGTATGATATCATATATAGTACATACAAATTTATTTTTTCATTTCGTCGTAGACCCAAAAAGTATACACATTCTTTTTCAATAGTAGACTCATTCTGTTTAGACCACAAATTTGGACCAAAATTAACACAAGAAATCCTAAAAGGACCTCCTCTAAAATTCAATTTGATGACAATATTAATATCAATACATTACAATCAGCTATTTAATAAAATTCATTTTTAAAATATATTTGAATCTACAAAAATAATACAAAAATTTCTGCGGCTTTTCATACAAATTATCATATTTTTATACCCTTCACTTTCGTGAGGAGGGTATATATAAGTTTGTCATTCCGTTTGTAATTTCCAAAATATAATTTTTTAAATTGAATCTCTTAAATGGAAAGTATTTTGTTGTCTGCGTAGTATTTTGCAAGAAAATAATAAACCATTCCTCGATCGAAATTCATCATACTTTTTCAAATCGATTGATTTCAAATCGTTCGAATTTCATCACATACCGGAATATTTATTTTATTTCGGCACAGTCAAATATAAAATTTAATTTTTAAATGATATCTAGAAGGTTTTGCATTTCACACTACACCCACTTTAAGGTATACCGATCGACTCAGAATCACTTTCTGAGTCTTTAACCATTAGTATCGCGATGAGATTCAGCATAACTAACCTTTATATAAAATTACATCCCTCTTCCCAATTTTTTGAGGATCGGCCATATTTGACCCTAGCTCCTATATAAAGCCTCTTCTAGAAATTTAGTTTTTCATCAATAAATTGCTTAAATACATCGGAGTTAAAGTAAAATTTAACAAATTTTTTATGAAAAATAAATAATTTTTAAATGTCGGTAATGTCCGACTATACCTTCCTATTTGTTTTTATTTAGGAAGTATGTACATATGTAGTTACCAAATTTCTGAAATTATGATATTTTAAAAGTTCTTATTTAATTTAAATTTATCTTCTGTCGATTAATTTCCACAAGATTAAACAATTTTCTTCAAAAACATGAAGATTTTAGATTTTCATGTATAAAATAATAAAATTTATGCAATACCGTTTGGCATCAATAATTTATATAGAAATCTGAATGCAAAGACCGCGATATAATGCCCATTATGAAATTTGGAGATGTTTTATTTTAGGAATATTTATTCCTCATCATAAGGCATACAGAAAATGTATAAAATCAATGGCAACATGAATGCCGAAATGTCTACTGATATTATGTAGCCATTTTTTGGGATATTTTTAATAATTCTGGTCAAAACGTTAAAAATACTATGATGCAACTGGATAATTACCCCAAATATAAGGCTAAAACACCAGATTTTTCCAAAAAGTGTTAAAATTTCATTGCTATATTAGCCCCTACAGTCGCCAGAGTTAATCCCGATTGAGAATTTATGTAAAATCGGGTTTACAATTACGAAAACCCATATAAAAACACAACAGGCCGTGGAGGAGAAGCCAATCGCCTCTCCGCGAGATATTAATGATACAGGCCGAACAAAAGAGGAGAAGGCTAGGAACGGGACTTTGAGGTATCTCGCTTTTTTGTCCTTCTCGTCAAGGGAGAGGCTCATAATCAGAAGGCACCGACAAAGCGTCGCTAAATTCGAGAAAATATACGCCCAAGTTGGTGACGTTCTGGGTTGGTCCACTCTCTGGTGACAACAGGTGGATGCTGCCATCAACCAGGCTAAGACTCAACAGGGTGATGGGGCGATGAGGCTTAATCAACACTGGCTTCGGTGTATATGCCGTACGAGGCTACTGACCCACCCGGCTCGGAGGTGCGTGAGTTGACGGCATATGCGAAAAGAAAGAGTGCGACCCTTGTGATGGGCTGTAATGCCAATGCTCATCATAGCCAATGGGGCAGCAAGGACATCAAAAAAAGAGGTGAGTTAATGTTCGATTTAAAAACTGATAATAATCTCATCATATAAAACAGTCATTAGACCGATTTTGCTCTATGGGTGCTCAGTTTGGAGCAAAACTTGTAAAACACATATCAAAAAGATTCACGTGGTCCAAAATAAAGTTTTAAAGATGATACACAAACTCCCACGTTTATACCGCACCCATGAATTACATGCTAG